TACAGTTAAAATATATTTCGTTTTTTTTAAGGTCGTCATTTTGCAGTAATATCTTGACTCTCGGTGGTTCAATTAAGCTGAATTTTAAGTAAAAAATTTCCGTAAGCAAATTTTCATAATAATTTCCATATTATTTCGTTATCGTGTGAAGCACTATAATAGAAATTGAGTAAAAGTTAACAAAATTGCAAGTATCTTAATGGAATATTATTAAATTTTCAGTTATTTTATAGTAAAAAAATTTATATTTCAAAATTAAATATTTTCACAAGTTTGTCAGTGGTTCACACGATAACGACAAGTTTACGGAAATTTTCTACTTAAAATTCAGCTTAATTGAAAGTCAAGATATTACTGCAAAATGACGATATCTTGAAAAGAAAAACGAAATATATTTTAACTGCATGTACTATACACTTATATTAAATATTTAATCATCAAAATTATATTTTTTTCTCTTTATATATTGTATAAATATACGTTAAAATAACACTTTCGCATATTCATTAAGTTTGTCATAAGAAATTGTGAAAGAACAAGCACGATTTTCAGGCAATCTGAGCCTCCAGTCCTCTCAAGGCTCCTGGTCCCTCGCATTGTCTATCTCTTTTTAATGACGTCAGAAGCGAGAAAATGCATGCTAAAAATTCTTGAGAAATACCTTGAAATAAAAATATATATCCACGAAGTAACACTTGCAATCGACAAATTTGTAAGATATTCTCCCCCTTTGTTCTAACAATCAATAATTTATCGTAAATTAACATACAATTCACCTTCTTAACCTATTTTTTTGCCAATTTCTTTCAGGTTAATTTAGGACAAATTATTTATTTATTGACAAATTATTGAATTATTGACTTTATAAATATATCTTTTTATTTCAACGTATTTCGCCAGAATTTTTAGCATGCATTTTCTCGCTTCTGACGTCATTAATAAGAAATAGACAATGTGAGGGGCCAGGAGCCTTAATCGTACAACATTTTCTTTTTATATACACGGAGAAAACGCCAAAGATATCACTTTCCTAAATGTGGTTGTTACAACAAAAAATCAATGTTAGTTTTCGCATACAAGATAGTGTAGTAACTTCGAAAGTACTACACTAACCTTCTTTACTGCCTACCCATATGTGTTTGAACAGTACTCTCAGTATTGTATGGTGCAACCTCGCAAGCTTTACGGATCTCTCAACCATAATATTCATTCTGTAGACCACAACAGAGAGACGGCAATATTTCCTCGGTTGAGACAACTATGTGTATATACGAGGATGTACTGCACATTATATATCGTAAGTAACTGTGGCTGTGAGAATTGTATAGATGGGCATGTAGTAACAGCAACTTTTAATACCATATCTATTTCCCTTGAAATCATATAAATTTTCTCTCTATAAAATATGTAGATATAGCAGTCATAGTAGTTTTCTCCGTGTAAAATAAATTTTCGGGCACAAAACAAATTTCTAAATTCATCTTTACGCATTAGAATAAAGAAAAAAAATATATACAGCATCAAAAATATAATCTCATCTCCTTGGTGGAATCCTTTTACATCACACGGTCTCAAGAAGGTTTTCCTAAATCGGCGGCCCTCCCTGTCCCGTTTACGTTCGCATTTTGCGATCCCGTTAGACGCAATCGGCCGGCTATGATTTTTCATTGCGGAATTTGCGAGATGCGATTCGCGCCGACACCCTATAAATCCGCCGGTGCGTATAGATAACCGGCAAATCTGCAAACAATGTTGCAAAGCCAATAAACTTGTTCGAATCCATTCGATTCGGGAAGGAATTTATTGGTTTTGCGCGAGAATTATTCGAGCACGCTCACTTCTTCTCTCACTTACTCATACACGCATCGTGTTTCCCTTTCTCGGACACTTCACGCACGTATTGCGAATATTTTTGCATTACGCGCGCTTGTCGACAATTCGTGCCGTTAAGGCTCCTCCCCTCGCATTGTCTATCTCTTTTTAATGATGTCAGAAGCGAGAAAATGCATGCTAAAAATTCTTGCGACATACGTTGAAATAAAAATATATTATATATCCATAAAGTAACACTTGTAATCGATTAAACAAATTTATAATAAGATATTCTGTGCACTCCCTTTTTGCTTTAACAATCAATAATTTGTTGTAAACGTGGCATACAATTCATCTTCTTAACTATTCTATTTCTTCGCCTATTTCTATTCAGGTTAATTTACGACAAATTATTGATTATTAAAGCAAAAGAAGAATGCACGGAATATTTCACAGGTTTATTTAATCATTTGCAAGTGTCACTTTATAAATATATCGTTTTATTTCAACGTATTTCGCAAGAATTTTTAGCATGCATTTTTTCGCTTCTGACGTCATTAAAAAGAGATAGACAATGCGAAGGACCAGGAGCCTTAATGACGATAAAACTGAAATAGAAATTTCTTTAGCATCCAGTTGGGATTCCCAAAATAATTATTATCAGAGGGAATCAGCCTGATTCCTTAAAATAATGCTGGATTTTGGAAGTGCAATCTCTGCGTCGTAATAAATATAAAGAATAAACGACACGCATGGTCAGCACATGACGCTTAGGCTAATAAATGTAGTAACATTGAAAAAGAAAATTTATGTTTAAAATTTATATTTAAAATTTATGTTTAAAAATTTATATTTAAAAAAAGAAACTAATATTTTTTTCGTATACATCGTGAAAGAAATATTTTAGCCGTGAAGTACTTTTACTGCGAAAAATTTATTTGCGAGACACAAAGTCTGTTTCTGCGAAGTAAAATCGATTTCTGCGAATAAATAGTCTACCCCACAAACAAATGTTCAAGTGTTTACTACTCAATGCATACACAGCGCAAGAGGGTCGACCGCGTACCGACCGATGCAAGTCGCCCATATAACGTGCGTGAATGATCGGTTTGATTCTCCCGTTGATTTACTCGACGCATCGCGACCACGATATCCGCGCGGCCGGCCGCGGTGGTCGCGCGGTAATTGAGTTCTCGCGTGCGCTAACGAGACGTTTCGGCCCGAAGTCTGGAAAAAAGTCAAAGTACGACTCTCAAGGGGCGAGAAGGTCGGCGAAAGCGGCGACAACGGTATCGTGCGATTCCCATTCCCGTCGAGCGTATGCCCGGCTGATCCTTTGCAGGCCACGTCAAAGCGATTTCGCGACGAATAATTAGCCGGTTAGCCGGCGGCGCGATCGCGCGAATATACACAAACAAACGGCGGAATCGGGAAACGTCCCGGCAATTTCGCGCGAGTGAAAATGTTCCCGCCGACGCTGTAAAAATAAGCGGGCGAGAAAAGCGGTGCGAGAGAGGGAAACGGCGGGATGGAAGGGTCGGCGGCAAGCCGGCGGGAAATTGCCGAGAGCTTTTTGTTATTCCGACGAAAAGTTCCACCATGCTGATTGGATGATAATGAGCCTGCGAGGAGTGCGAAAACGAACCGGCGGCGCGCCCGTTCACGACGACGACGACGACGCGACTCCGAGAGCGAGCAAAGTTTAAGAGCGGAACCCTGGCGCGTTGTTATGACGTCAGACATCTCTCTCTCTCTCTCTCTCTCTCTCTCTCTCTCTCTCTCTGTTTCTCTTTCGTTTTTCTCTCGTCCGTGGAAACTTTTATCTTCCAATCCACTTAATCCGAGGAAGCCAAGTTTCCTTATCGCGCCGGTCCAGGTGAGTTCGCTTTCGTTCGTCGTCGTCGTCGTCGGTGTCGTCGGCGCCCGGAGGGCTCGGCCTCCTTGCGAAATACGCAATTATCGCGGTGCGCATCGGCGTTGACCGAGGAAACGGCAGAAATCCATTCCGCGCTAGCTGTCGAACCTTTCCGCACTTTCGTGCGCGAACGCGTGGCTCTCGCTATACCGGGTTGTGCGCGAATCGCGCGACATTGCTTCGCAAATGTCCTCAAGCCGATATCGGATTACTTGATTGCCGAATGGATTACGAACAAAATAACCAAACTACCAATTGGGATTGATGATTGATAATTAGGCAATATTTTATTTAATCGTCAATCGCGCAATTCAGTCGGTAATCGCTAATGTGACGCAGACTTTAAGGAGTTTATTCCCCCGACATTTATTTTCAGGGCATCCCAAAGACACGTGAAAGGAGTTACTCATAAATTCGCTATTTCTATCGAACAGAATTACGTCTTATATATTTATATCGGAATAAATGTTAATTTGAAACTAATTTCATGATATCATCTCTTGCCACTTTTCACTCGGTACAATGCTACTTTTGTAGAAACTATTCTTGAAACTATTCAATAATTCTTCTATTTTATATATTTTATATATTTTTTAGTTTTCCAATTTAATCTAACATATGGTTCGTAAATTTCTCATTTGAACGGTATTTTTACAAAATTACGCTGAAATAATAATCCACATTGCTTGTATCATAAGGTTATCTGCGAAAAATATTTGCTATTAAAATTTTCACGCACGATGCAGACAAATCGCATGAAACTTTAACTGCGAATATGTTACTGCGTTAAATACTACACGTTAAAATTTTTACACAATTTTTAGGTATTCTTTGGTCCAAGTGAATAAACTCCTTAAGCGAAAATATTCCCGAGAAGCGAGACTTTGCCAGCGCTCCAAGGTGAAATTTCGGACGCGCACCTGCACTGTCGAACAATGCATTTTGGTATCGTCACGTTTTCTCATGCGACTTCGCGATCATCCCGTATAACGCGGTGTATCGCGGCAAGAATAGAAATCTCTTTGGCGTTCGATTACTAAAGCTATTGGCCAGCCCGAGATTTATTGACGCTATCGATTGCCGAGTATCCGGCGCGTGGCGCGTGTTAGTGCGCCGGAAATGTTAGCTCGCATTCGTTTCGCGCTCGTAATACGCTCAACATCGCAAAACGCACTGAAAGCGGAGTGCAAATGGATGCATGCGGAGTTTGCGAACAGTTTACGCACAGAGAGATAGGAAAAACACACTGAAAGCTGTATGAATTTGTAATTACCCCGGAATGTTGCCTCCCAACTGTTGGTTTCTTTGGGAAAAAAAAAACAAAGAGAAGCGTTCGGTTAATCAAATATGACAGCATCATTAACATGTATACACGATTGACTGTCGCAGGGAAGAACAGGTCTAGATGGCACTATGTTTGTCGTGTTTTTTACTATTTTTTATCTTGAGAGGAACCAAATATATCGCGAAAAATGATTCTTTTAAATTATTAAAAAATGAGAAAACTCCAAAGATATAAATCAAAAATAAAAATAAAAAAAGGGCTAATAGGAGTTTAGGCACAGAACTTTTAGTATTATAAAACCTAAGGATATGGGTGAAAGTTTCTTATGTTGAGAAACTAAGTAATTTATTAAACATTAAAAGTAAGTAGTCTTCAGTATAAAACATGTAATTATAAACAATAAAGTATCAAAAATTTTACCTCAAAATTGTTCGCAACCGAGACTGGGAGGAAAGAATTACTTGGTTTCCCAACATAGGAAACTTTGACCTATATCCTTAGATTTTATAGCACCAAAACTTCTGTGCCTGAATTTCTTTAGTCCTTTTTTTATTTTCATTTTTGATTCTTTAAATACTTTTCTTTGAGAGAGTGCTGTTAAAATCGGAATATAATATCATCGTTAAAACATATTCTTCATCATATTAACATTCGTATTAATATCGTATTAATGTTCTTCATCGTGAGTAAATCAAGTTGAGCGACACGTTCCCAGTTATAATGAAATTTCTTGCAAATGTATGATCTTAAAATCGAGCATACGGGCTGACGAGGTAAAAGTGGCCCATAATTAAGGGCCGGCGAGAAGACTGTGGAGACCTCTCGCGAAAACCCCGCAACTTCTAAACGAGATATACATATTTTATACGTGGCTTTCTTAGCTTGTGCTACCGGACAACCGAATACAAGGTGTACCAAGGATAAGATGGTCAGTTTGATTATTGCTACAGTATAATTACTGTATAGTTACGGGGATTTAATCGTGTACGTTACGCGAAAGACAAGGGAAAAATCGACTCACCTGGATGACGCTCTTATCTTTGATCTTCTCGAGGGGTAATCGTTCCTTGACGTAGTGCAGGTTGAGGATCTCCTTGACACGCTTCTTGTCCTGCAGGATCTGCTTGACGCCCGGCTCCTCCAGCGCGGCGTTGCTGGGCGCGAAGAGGGTTACGTCGCGCAGGTGACTAATGGTGCTCATGATGTCTTCGCCGAAATCGCGGATGGTCTCGTAAAACTTGTACACGGGCCCGTCCTCCTTTTCCTACACGGAGAGAAGAGATTTCTGTCGATCGGTCACGCAGTGCACGCCGCGCCTCGCCGTCAGCGAGAGGCCGTCGACGTGAAAGACAAGACACAAAACGAGAGAAAAGCGAGAGAAAACGCAAAGAAAGGCGGGAGGCGGGGAGAGAGAACACGCGGCGTTAAGAAGAAACAAAAGTTTAAAAAAGAAGGAAGTCGATTATTGCTCATGGCAGAGAGCGGAGTCGATGGCGTCCGAGTTCGGCCGAAGTTATCAACGTTCCGTTACGCGTTAATCAGCCGCGACGGAAAGGAGTGGCTCTCCCTCCTTCGTGTTTCGCGGATTAAAGTGTAACGGAATTCCGAATCTGGACGTCATTAAACTCACTACAACGAAAGCGAGAAAAATAATAAAGGGACTTTGGCGGACGGTTGGCAGGATATGGAAGAGAGCTGGGAGATTAAGGGACAAGTCGCGAGGGACGATTTGCGCCCCGAAGGTCTCGCATTACGTCGTCGCCTCGGCGAGCATTTTTCGTGAGTGTCAGGAAATCGATTCTCTTATAAACGATCACCGCGGATATTATCCGCTATTTTTGGCGAGTCAGCCGCGCTGACTGGGGATTCCCAATTCATGCCGAAGGGAACGATTCGGTTCCGCGCGAAAATTCAGATTGAGAGTTCGCGCGCTCGCGTGAGTAACATTAATTGTCAGGCGATGATGTAGAGGAGACTCGTTCAATTCGGCAAAATAAAACTTCTGCTCACGGAGGTGACAATTCTCCGTCGGGAGGTTAAGAGATTCTCGACAGAGGGGGAGAGAAAGAGAGATCGTCTGAAAAGCAAAATACTTGAAATTCAGTTGGCTCGGCCGCGAGAATGGAACCGTCGCAATTAAGCCCGAGCGTAACGAACTCGAAGCTTCGTGTAACTTGCGCCACGAGCAAGAGACAAAATGAATTACTCACGGACGCAGAAGACGAGGTGCGAGAGAAAAGAAAGCGTGACTGGGACGTGACCGTCAGTGGTCCGCGGAAGCGGCAACATTACGTGACACACATAATTCACGTTCTTCCTCGAGTGCCGATTGTGCTTCTTGCACGGGTCCCGGAGAGGGGAAAGGTCGTGGGATTCAATTTTCGGGGGCTATTTTAAAAAATTAGGAAAAAGAGAGAGAATTCTGAAACAATTTTTGGGCACTAGAGGATGATTAAGAGGTGAGCGCGACTCGATGCATGTAACTCAATGTACCAGCGGAATTAAGAAAATTAATTTCGCTAAATTAATCTCACTCCTGATTAATCCCGCCGAATTTCACTGAATGTCACTGGATTTCAACTCACGGGTCGCGTGACTTTTCGCGAGGATATCGTGCAGGAAGTCGAGGACGAAGGTAAGGCAAAAGTACCATCGTCTGGACACGTATTTAGTCCTGGACATTCTTATTGTTTTGGTCTTCAAAAATATGAATATTTAAATACAAAATATATTTAAAGACACGCTGATGTGTCAAGCTTTCTTTTAGGATATGCGTACGAGCAGGTTTTAGATGTCGCTCTATTGTCGCGGGATCTACCTTCCCGCGAGACAGCAGTGCAGAAAATCGTGCTAGATTTCGAAAAGAAACCAAATGCCTATAGGCAATGTGCCCCATTTCGAGGCAGTAAAATCAATAGATGAAACGGGTACCGTTTTAAAGATCTTGACGAGCTGAAAATTTTAATACCTATCTCAAGTTGATCCGATTTTTCGTTCTGGAAATATAGCGTTCCAAAAATCTGATTTCCGTTACGGTTTTTAATTTATAGAAAATATTAGCGTTGGAATTTCGAAACGATCAAGGGCGCGTTGGAAAGCTGAGAGTGCCTACTTTTCAGGAAAAATATATTATTTTGATAATATACCAAATAACCGGGAATCCACTTGGAACACCTGGATTTCCGGTTATTTGGTATTTTATCAAAATAATATATTTTTTTCCTGAAAAGTAGACACTCTCAGCTTTCCAACGCGCCCTTAATCGTCTCGAAATTCCAACGCTAATATTTTTTTATAAATTAAAAACGGAAATCAGATTTTTGGAACGCTGTATTTCCGGAACGAAAAATCGAATCAACTTGAGATAGGTACCAAAATGTTCAGCTCGTCGAGATCTTTAAAACGGCACCCATTTCATCTATTGATTTCACTGCCTCAAGATAGGTCACATTTTGGCCGCCCTCTTTGCAGAGCTGAAGAATTAACGCGGGAGCGCAGATACCTCCGTTCGCAACTTTCATCGCGAGATCGAATTACATCCAGAAGATCACCACGAAGAATAAAAAAGAAAAAATGGAGGACGAGGTGGGAAGGTAATTAACGGGACTGCGCGGTTAGATATTCACGGCGTCCGCAGCTTCGACGTGGTTCCCGGTATTTATGGACGAGCTTAATGAGAAGGACCGGGCGAAGAAGAGCGCGAAAGGGAGGTCCTCGTGTGCGAAATAGGTAGCCAGGTAGAGGTCAGGAAGAGCGCGAAAACGACGCGGCTACGCGATGTGCGTCGGAAAAATCACTTTTCCGTATTTTTCTTGATTCACGTGAACGATAAAGGAAACACGGAAAGACAAAAGGAATAGAAAGAGAGAGAATTTCCTCGGATTTTCTACGCTCACACCGGAGAGCGGGTAATTTTCCACGTCGACGCGAAAGATCGCGTAATCATTATAACGCCGAAGCGGAGGAACGGAACACAGTCAAAGGAAATAGTTGAGAATTTGCACTGCCGATACATTACTTTGGATACGCGCTATAATTTTTTGCAATGGCGCTCTCTCTCTCTCTCCTTCTTCCTTTTTCTGTTCCGTGTTCAAAGAGACGCTTCACTTAGATTCTCGTGCGAGGTAAAAAGTCGCGGTGGCTTTCGTCTCTTGCAATTTGCGCGGAACCCGTTTCGATTCGCTAATGAACGGCGAATTCTTGGACACGATGGTGCGGAAGAGCTCGTCGGGAGAAATTCAATTGCCGCATTTTTGTCGTCCGATACTCGGACACACGCGGCTAATATGACATCACTAAAAGAACGGAGTTCATGCCTCGGGTCAGAACAACATCGGGAAGAGTTATCGCGCAGGAAAAATCTACGGAAGTCATTTCTTCCGTTGGCGCGACCGCCGAATGCCGTCGGCATTTCCCTCGTGGCACAAATCCTCCTCTTCGCCGCGTCTCCTCATCCTACACACTTCCTCCACTCTCCCTCTACCATCTATTTATTTCGCCTTCCTACCCACGCTCCCTTTCGTTCTTTTTGCTCGTCCCTCGTTAATCTCTCTTTTGCAGGTTCGAGGCCGATGGGAAAGCCGGGAGGTAACGAAAAGGGGGATTAACTAGGCATCTGAGGCGTTGCGCGGAAGAAAAATATTGACAGAGAAGCCGCGTAAAAAGAGGTAGAGCGACGGGAGGAGCGACACGGAAGCGATACAGGAAAAAGGTCTGGCAAAATCGTAACGGAAGTCGATCGGCGGCTGTTAGCCGCGGCTATCTCTGGACGGACGAGAAGAGGGAGGAGCCGGGGGCGAGTTTGATAACGATACATTGCTACTGCTAGGGGTTGCCTACACCGGGATAAATTAATAAAAATATACTTGCGGGCGAGAGCGCTCGCCCGTAGTGGAAGATCAAGAGGAGAAGAAGAGAGCTCTTTCTTGCTTTCTCTCACTCTCTCTTTCTCTCTCTCCTCCAGCGACTTGAAATAGTATCGATCGGCGAAGGCTCGTTCCTCCGTTCTCGCTACTCGTCGCCGCGTTCTTTTGTATTCAGAGCATCGAACCGTGAAGTTGTATACGTGTCGGCGAGCAGTTCCGTTCCGGAGCGGAAATGCATCCCGGTGCTCGCGACGCGAGCGCGACGAGCACATAATCGAGATTCGCGACATTTTTGCGCGTATCTCTGATCATATTCAGGACCGCGGGGTCGTTCCGAGTGTTGATTTCGCGCAATTTTGTCGGTGGCAAACATTTGAAAGTACCGTTTCGCGTGTTTTTCTGTGGCAATCTGATAAAACAAGTCGTAAAAACATATGTATGCACATTTTTGTGCAAGCGTTCTTTTTTTTTTTGAAAAAAATCTCACTTGAGACCCAACTACTAATGATATTGGCATATGTCGAGTGCTTGAGAACGTAATTTGCTGATATGAGAGCTCTGTCCTTCTCCACCACCAAAAACCTAACCTAACGTCATGTGACATTAGTGCACTGTCAAAAAGGCGTATTAATCTTCACTTTTTGGCAACGTCAATGTACGCAACCTGCGTTAGATTGTTTCTCCAAGAAAGAAGGAGAGAGAGAAGATCTTTCGCTCTTCGCAAAAACAATTTGCATACGTATATATCTTTACGAATTGTGTCGATTGCCATAGAAGAGACCGCGGTTTCAGGTGGAGCGATATTTTCGAACGATTGCACCTTGTCGATTGTGCGTGGCCCGATTATCGACGCCGTCCTGGCTCGTTCTACTCACCGTCGCCGTCACGATGCCCTGCCTCGTGTCCCTTTGTCATCTTATTCCTGGCTTATCCCAGCCGACGAGGCTTTATCGCGGCGATATTGCCTTTATTTCACTCGGACTCGCGTCGCGTTTTAGAGCGGATCGGCGGAACGAGATTCCCTCGATCGCATTTTCATGTAAATGGCCGGACGTCGTCGTACGGCGCACGGCGATCGTAGCTTCTACTACTTGTGTACAAGGATCTAAATATTCAAGGATCAAACGATTCGCAATATCCCCGGGCGCCGGAATCCGAGAGTACCGTCGATCCCTGATCCCGCGCCCGGGGATCCACGGGCTACCCCGGGGGACACCCGGCACGACAGTCCGGGGATCGCCGGCGAATTTCAGCGTCCAGGGCCTCGAACGACTCGCGAATCTAAGGAGCCAGGGAGCCACTCGCGTGTCTCCGGCGGCGAAGATCCGCCGGGAGGCCCGCGCGCGCGCGTCCATGGATCGCTGGACTCGCGGGGACCACATCGGGCCCAGAGACGGTC